CAATCGTCCGCTATCTCTGTGCCAAATTTTAATAAAATTTGGCACAGAGATAGCTTTATAAGCACAATTTTTAGCACAAGAGAAAGCTTTATAAGCACAAGAGAAAGCTTTATAACACAAATTTTAATAAAATTTGGCACAGAGATAACTTTATAAGATAGAGCTTTGTAAGACAGAAATAGCTTACATGTTGGAGATGGACATAGGCTACATTTTACTGCGAGAATATATCTTACTCCCACGAGAAAATTCGATATAATGCGGGAGAAGCTGTGGGTAGACAGCAAGTGATAAATAGAATAAGTTTTTTTTTACATTTATTACCTTTAAAATACAATTCTAATAATGAAAATAACATAAGGTTATTTAATTTTAATGCGACAAATATGCACGATTTTCTTTGCACAACTTTGTAAAAGCTGGTTGCTTTTTGGTCAGCTTCAGTCTCAAGTCATCTTCGAGTTGAAGTCGGTGACAATATTTAGTTTTCATGTTTGTAACGGCCGAAAATCCACTCTCGCAGAGGTATGTTGTGCAAAATGGTAGTAAATATTTTATTGCCGCTTCACTGACATGATAATGATAATTGTACAATTAACACAAATTGTGTTAGTTGTACAATTTTTGTTTCTTGTGTAAGAATTTCATTTAGGTATTGTCACAAATGCATTTTTTTGATAAAATTTTGAGACTATTTTTAGTTATAAATAAATGAATTTGGGCATTCGACACCATGTTGTAAATTGCCGAATTTTTGATGGTCCACCCATTACTTTTTTGATTGCTTCATTTCATGCATTTAAATTTTAAATCTACCGATTTTAGATTGCCACATGTACCCCTTCGTGCAATTTTGCGTACCCCTGGGGGTATGTGTACCATTAATTGGAAACTATTGCAGTAGAGCATTGTTTATCCCAATCAATTAGGGACTGGGGTTGTTCAGATAATTGATTATGTACTAAAAAATATATTAACCTATCCCATGTTGAAATTTTTCTTCGTTGCATGTCACTTCACATTGAATTTTCCTCGATGTTAAGCCTAACAAAAATTTTTATAATAATAATCACGACTATTGTATCATTAAAATTATTTCTTTATTTTGTATAAAATAAATATATTGAAAAATATAAAAACAAAAAAATTATACTTTAGAAGTTAATCTAGTTTATGCTTCTAACACAATAAAGTGCTATAAATTAAGACACTTGGCGGATTTTCTCATCTTTGTTGAACTAAATAAAGTTGAACTAAATAAAGATGAGAAAATCCGCCAAGTGTCTTAATTTATAGCACTTTATTGTGTTAGAAGCATAAACAAATTGTAAAGCACGGTTTCATATTATCAAAAAAAGTTAATCTAGTAACAAAAACATTCGATTCAGCACGACACATGTCCTGACACACATTCCGAAGAAAATAAACTACACCACAAAACACCAGGATGTGTTAAATACTGCACTCTTAGAACCTATAACTGGTGTAATATAAAAATCAAAAGATAAAGATCACCACAAATGTTTTTGAACTGCTGTGAGTTCTTCTTCAGGTGTGAAACAGAATAACTGATGGGACCATTACGGAAATTCAAGAAATATTAGAAGGTGTTACATGAGACGCATGTATGTTCATCTGGTTGAAATATTGTGACCTTAAAGTTCGGAGTCCATCAACACCTTCCAGGCCGGTGACAGAACCAACTCATCCTTAAAATTGATGCAGTTGTCATTGAAGGTTGATTTATAAATGTGAATGGCCTCTAGTCACTTAAGGTGTTTGGCATATGACATAGTGTATATGAGCTTTGCCTGGTGGAAGGCTGCCTCAATGCCCAGGTCAGTGGCGTATGTGACGAGGGCGGAAGCATTTCTCTGATGATGTATGTTTGCTATATGTTCCTGTACTCTGACTTCCAAGGAGCATTTTTTGGATATGATGTAAAGGTCTCTATCAAACTTGTTGTCCCTAATGGGAATATTATATACACCAGGGAGTCTGTTCTGGTTAGGGGGTCTTTTCCATTGCAAAGGATGTCAAAGATGGTTGGATGTCTCCTGTACGCGATCTGAATACGTTGTTTCTTGATGATATCAGTATAGAGCATTTTTAGGTAAGGATTGAATGTGATAGGACCCGTTGTGTCACGTCAGGGAGGTTATCCTGCTGGTCAGTTGTGATGGTGCATTGCGAGTGTGCGCGGTGATAGTGATCAATCAATTTATGCATAAGCCTCAGAAACCCATGGGAAGAGGCAAGACAGTAAATATGTAAAAGTTCAGCTGCAAGCACTTGTGTAGTAGATGAATGATAGTAGATGCTTTTTATATCACACCAGTTATAGGTTCTAAGAGTGCAGTATTCCTCAGAAAAACACCACACAAAAGTGCCAGTGCTGTCAGCTAAAACACACACACCAACAAAAAAATATTGGAGTAGCCCAAGACATAGCCAAAGATTGCAGCACCACAGCACTAGTGGAAATTTAAATTTGCTGACAGGAATGCTTTCAGTTAACCGGCGTTTCAGTTGACCGGTTTATGGATAAATGACGCTCTAATGTAATAATATAAAACGTTTGTAAATAAAATATTGTAATATATGGCACCACATGCAATTTTAAATTCTTGTGCTAAGAAAGTAATGCAACTTGTTGCTGGATTTTTTTCAACTGGTGGTTAACTTTTGAAGGAAGTGTAACAAAACTACATTCTGAGTCTGTGTAAACTTAAAACAGTTCAATCACCATACCTACATGCTTCCAAGCAAAACAGTGACAGCTACAGAACTGTGAAATGCTCAATAACCTGGCTTCAAGGATTGCCAAAACTTGCTCATCATTGACTGATACTGAAAGGAAGTTTTATTCCATCAAAATAATACTAAACCACATACCATTAATTTAAGATGATCTGCCACCCTGTATTGACTGGGAATATCCTGGACCCTGTGTACACCTACCAAGTTACAGCACTAATTCACTGAATTGATATTTCATCAGTCAAATTTGGATCTGCTATCATGAATAATAAATCATTAAGAAATTTACTTTCATTAATGTAATCTATAAATAATTACATTAATGAATTAATGAATGAATAATTACATTAAAAGAATGAAGGAAGTTTTGTTTTAAAATAGATTTATATTTGGTTTCAGTTAAATATTGAAGTTCAAGGACAGAAGCAGGAAGATATAAGTGATGAATCCAGTGTTATTAATGTAGCCTCAACAGGAGAACCACACCTACAAACAATTACTGTAACATTAAGTCGCAGTATTGAACCTGGTAAAGTTATAACAGTTTCGTTAAATATTTAACTTGTATTTTATTGAATTATTAAGTTTCCAAAATTTTAGGTCAAGCGCCAGTAATTTCTAGAATAGAAGCCCATCTCAGTGATGGCAGTACTCGCGTCAGTTCGACTCTAACTCCGGAAACTTTTGAACTCCTAAGTAGACTTCACCCGTCTGTATTTCCTCCTGGCAGTCTCATTCAGGTTGGTATCAAGGCTTATTTATTAAAATAAGTGATACTATGTAATGGCATCTTTTTGTAATGTAGTTGGCCGAAACCAATCAGACCTGTCCAACTGAGGTCACTCAGACGCAGCTTACACCTGTATGTCCATCAGATGCAGAATTTTGCATCATACCTCAGCAGTCCAATTCAACAAATTGTAAGATGGATGCCAAAGATTCTCTGCCAAAAACTTTAACCATAGAAAGGAATGATCAGGTGATGACTGAGACCCCCATTCAAATATGCGAAATCAATCTCCAGGATATAGGAGCAACCATCTCACGCCCCGTTATTTCAGGTAATTTTAAATGCCACTAAATTAATTTGCAATATGATTTGCAGACTTGACTGAGAATAATTTTTTTTAACACAGGTCTAGAAAATAGTTGAAAATAAAACAGCAAAGTAATTAGCCATTAACTTGCACATTTGTTTATGTATAGTCTCAATTTGTAATCAATGTTATTCAAGATCTTTAGGATTTTAAAATTATTGACATTCCATTTTTCGCTTACAAGTGATTGGCCCAAACCATTTCATCAATTTGAGTCCGAAAGCTAGAGGTCGTTTTGTGATACTTGCCATCCCCGACCTTAAAGAAATGAAGATTTTGACAGAGAAGATACATTTTAAATGTACAAGACTCTGTAAATAAGTATGAAAGATTTAAATTTAAGAAATTCTTGGATAGAGCAAACCACTATATCAAATTCCATTGATAGAATGGTTTCTTGTACTGAATCAGATTTGAAAACTTGTTATTCACGTTTATTAAATATCTTTGTTTCACTCATTGCACACTCATATTTTTGTTAGGGCATTTTGCAATTTCATCTTCTCTTCTTAAGAATGTACGTAGTACTCATAGACATTTTTTGATCTTCAGCTTCCAATTTTGTCCTGTCGTGTGTGTGCAACTAAAAATTTATTATCCTACTTAGAGACAAAATGGATTAGCGCAAGGATACTTAATAAATGTGAAAACTACATTTCTGTTTTACTCATAAGGATTTTAGATTAGTGATTTAAAATTTAATGAGATTTTGTAGTACAGGATGGAAAAGTCACTTAACACCCTGCTACAGAATATAGAATGTACCCAAAGTTAATTTGCTCATGTCAGGAACACATTAGACCAGGGAAAAACAGATTGGTGTGTGTTACATGTTGTTGCATCTTGAATGCAACAACAAAACTGTAAATGGGAAGGAGGTCATGTGACACACATTTAGGGTCAGAATTTCACAAGGAATTGATTGCCAAAAGATTTTATCAACCTACCTTCAACGGTTACAGAGTTATGTTACATGATGTGCTCAATGTACTGTACATTCTTTGAGTAAATTCTATATTCTGTAGCAGGGGTGTTAATTGACTTTCTTTCTCATCCTGTGTAATACATGATAGTCCAAAAGTTAGTTGACTAAGACATATTTTTAAAAACGGTTTGGCTCCCAACGTGATGGGAGCCAAAATTAGGGCAATGAAGAGACCGGCCAAACTCCGAGAACTGATGAGGCAAAAAGAGAGAATTAACTCCATATTATTACAGTGGAGCGTCGATTATCCGAATCAATTGGGGACTGGGGTTGTTCGGAAGATTGACGTTTCGGATAACCGATTATGTACGAAAAAATATATTAATTTATCCCATCTTGACATTTTTCTCCGTTGTGTGTCACTTTGTGTTGAATTTTCATCGATGTTAAGCGTAACGAAGACTATTGTATCGTTAAAAATTATTTTTTTATTTTGTACGAACAAAATAAATATATTGAAAAATATAAAAACAATAAAAAATTATACTTCAGAAGTTAATTTAGTATCAAAAACGTAAAATATTTGAGTAGCCCAAGACATAGCCAAAGATTGCAGTGCCACAGCACTGGCGAAAATTTAAAATTGTCAACTGGAATTCTTTCAGATGATTGACTTTCGGATAATCGACACTCTACTGTATTTGTGATCCATCATCTTGTCAGCAGTGAATAAGTCACAGTAACATAACCTTTTCCAAACCAGTTTTAATCATTCTTTTAAAATATATTTTGGTTAATTGACTTTTGGGCCACCCCATATATTGTGAATTCAGGGAATAACACTCAGAACTGGTAACTAAAGAAACCAACAATCAGATTATTTTGAAAATTAATAGAAATCTTTTCATTATGTAGACATTTTATTTGAAAAAAAATTGATTTTCGGCATCTCATATGACTATATGCAATAAACATACTGTACTTGTGTGTAATTCCAGAAAACTTTCTGTTAACAATAGATCTGAACAATATCTGTACCAGGAATATTTGATTTTACTTGTTATTAGTTAATGGAAACATTTCTATAAATCTGGTTAAAAGCAATTTTGGAATTTTGGCAAAATTTGATACAAAGAATTTCTTCCATGATATTTTTAAATGCGCTTTTTATCAATATATTGGCGTCGGTTTTTCTATTCGTTAGTGATTGAGACATTTCTACTTTAAACTCTCAAACTACATGCTGCATTCAATCACTTTATAGCAAGTTGGATGAAAACAGATCTATCTGTGTGTATAATTTCTTGAGTTATTGACCAATTAATGAAAATTTTGCATCAGAAGTAAAGCAGAAAGAACTGAAACTGCAGTTTATAGCCAATATGTAAATAATTACTTATTTATCTCTCGTACAATTCCCTACTTCAGTTTTGCAAAGCATTATTGATTTGAAAATGCATACATTTTAATTTATTTATCAGATGAAGTCCACAGAGTTTTTCAAAGTCCACATTTTTTGTAAATATTCAAGAGCCAAAATTATGAATTAAATAATGATATTAGTGCCTTAATGCAATTAATCTGGCATTAAAATATCATTACTTTTATTGTCTAGTGTAGAATTCAAAGTGATTTAATCACTAGAGCATTGTTAAATACTGCATTGTAGGCGACATTTGATTGAATTTTTGTTATTTCAGAATTAATTAAGCATTTAACATTGTAAATATCACCTAAATTTGGTCTTAAAGGATCAGCAATGGGTCTCACAGTCTTGAATACACAATCTTTATTCGAGACATTAGTTCGATATCTAATGTGTCAGTCTTTGAATTGCAAGCATAAAGATGTTGGATGTTTAACAAGAATTATTCCAGCTTTAAATGTTCCATAACACTAATATACAAGGTGATTATAAAGTCTTCATCCATTTTTGTGTAAATGGTAACAAAGTCATTTGTTTGCAAGATATATGAAGTATGCTGACCCAAGAAAAAAGAACTGCTGTGTCTTGCACATTTGAGTGGATTAACATACAGAGAAGTACCATCAAATCCTCTTGTTTCATAGTCTTCAAGAGATCATGATACATTGCTTAGCAGGTGGCATAAACCTCTTTCTCCTCCTCCAGCTTATCTAACACCTGAATGCTTTATGAGTTTGTAAGGAAGGCTCTCCCATATTGTCAGTTGTAGCACAGTGGGCACCTAGCACCTACCTGGCTTAGTCTTCTGGTTGATGATGTAGACTCTGTGTTATTGCATTTCTACAAATTGAATTGTTTCATCAGATATGGCAATTTTCTCAGAAAGTTTGGTTTATGCATCTTATACATTACCTGTTTGCCTGAATTTGGTAACCAACAATCAGAGCTGGCCCTACCATAGGGCGAACGGCGCAGCCGCTCCAGGTGTTAAGTCCTAGGGGGCGCCTCAGTGTTAAAGAAAATTAAAGGGTATAAATTAGGGGCAACCAAGGGGGGCGCCATAATAGGATCTCGCTCCATCCTAAAACTTGCCTCGGGCCGGCACTGCCAACAATGTGCTTTTACTCTGTAGGAGCAGATTTCCTGAATTTCTGGGTGAAATTTGTCTGTACTCCTGCATACATTAATCCAATAAAATATGCACAAACAGCAATTCTTTCTTCTTGGATTGGCATGTTTCACACAACTTGCATACAAATAAATTTGTTACTTTTTTCAGAAAAATGGATTGAAACTATAATCACCCTGTAATTTCTTCAATGAACTTCTCGGAATTGAGTGACACCATACTCTCATTTTGTTATTTGTTCACGTTATAGTTATTACATTTGTTGCATAGTTTTAGCATATTTATTCCAGAATTTTTATAAACCATGGTTAGAACAAGAATGTTCTGATGGCAGTTGTTTAAAATACATTAAAATCTGTAGAATCTGTAAATGCTACTTACTGTTTTTATCTGAAATCGTTAAAGAACAAATAAATAGTTCATTTTTAAAGATTTTTATGACATCACAGTCATTCTTCAAACATTTCATTTGATTTTATATAATCTTTTATCTCGATACCTGCAATATAAATTGATATCAAACAATTTTAAAACAAAGAAAGGCAATATTTAAATTATGTCCATTTTTTGTTTATGTAAAATGTACAAATTTTGTAAATAAAGAATGTTTACAAATTATTTTTCTGGATGTATTTTGTTACTGAAATTGAATCTGTGTAAAGTAGATAAAATTGCAGAAATTGCAAAGAAATCTATGTGCAATATGCTTGTGATTATTTGGCTGATAGATCAAAAACTCTACAATGACTTGTGGTGGCTAAGGCATGCCCTTGTCACTCTAAAAGACCAAATTTAAACCATAATTGGATTCTCAGAAATTTACCTCTGTCCTATCTTGGATATCCAATATTGGCCTATCCCTCACCATTGGACTTTCCCTTGCCAGTAGATGAATTTATCATGGATACAAAAGTTATTTTAGTGGGAAGAATCTACATTGGGAATGATGGCCGACATGATAAAGGTGTCAGTCTGTCACTATCCACAAAATAAGATAAAAATCACCGAATGTTGGTAGTTCATTATGGGTTTGCACCTAACCGATGGGATGGCAGCACAATTTTCCATTTTTCTTCACCATGTTGGCAGATTGCACATGTATTGTGTTATCATATTATAACATCCCATTGATCCAATACTATCCTGGGGACCTGGGTTCAAATTCAAGTTGCAATTCTCAGAAATTTTTTGTATGTTGAGCACCATCCTTTATTTGTCCATCTCTACTATGGTGTTGGTCACACATGATGAATAGGGAAAAACTTTCAGGGAATACATGGTGGAAGGAGTTAGAAGCACTTTCTTCTTTTATGTTTTACTGTCTGCCCTATAGGCAATAAGAGGACTTTCTGTACTTGTTCTGGTTTGGCCATGCATACATAGGGAGTGACCATTATTTGATGGGGACAGGGTACGATATAATTGGGACGAACCATCAACAAAAAATTTTTGGGGTTTTAGATCTGATTTATGGTTGTAAGCTTCTTGCCTCAAAAAAGTTAATTTAATAATTATATTGATTAACCAGTTGGTAGAGATTTAAGGCTTATCAATCTGTAATGGAACCCAAGTAATCAAGATTATATTCTGGGTCCACCAGAGTGTCAAGTCAATGCTTTAACCATCTCAGTTGTCCAGCCATCAGTGAACATAGCTTTGACAATGCCACTCTGACAACACATTTTTATAGTTGCATTGTATCATAAGTCTATAATTAGTGTCTACCAAAGAGCTTGTTGGAAAGCCTGTAGCCATGGTCTTTAATGGGAAATAGCATTATCATCGTTTTGAAAAAATTATTTTGCAAGAAGTGTTACACCTGTAATCATTGTTCTGTTTTTGTTTTGTGGTATGGAATAGTCATAATACAATATCAGACTTATGGGTGCATCATTTTACTGTCTCTTGGTGAGCATAAAAGCATTCAGAGATTTGCAGTTTTGGTTTGGTTTATTCATATATAGCACATGGGCATATATGAATAAACCAAATGAATGCCAAAGGGAGATGTCTCCTAGAAGACTTTCTAAGGGATTGGCCCCTATTTAGGTGTTGCAAATGTGAAGAAAATCCAGGAAACTTCATGGGCCAGCCTGTTGGCAAGGTGAGTGTTCAATGATTTTACCAACTCAGTCACTGGCAGGCAGCAGTTTTTATAGTGGCCAATTCTAGTGCATGGTGAAACAACCCAAACAGAATCCATAGATAGTCATTTAATTAAACACTCTGTAGAAACAAGAGAATTGACACTTTTAAGCAGTTCTAATTGCATAATTAATTAATTTGCCCTTTTCATCTTTAGAGGTATTTGGCTTTCATAGATGTACAAAAAGTTAAAATCCATGCTGAAATTTGAGACACTCATACTTTGACAATGAATAAGTAAGTTGTCTCTCTTGCTTAGTTTGCCAAGTATGCCACATCATCATCATATTTAAAGTTAATGGCAAATGCATAAGATCACATGGTGCCCGTAGTGATTTGAGTGCCACCTGCATCATCTTAAATTGTCTTTTAAGACAACCAGATTGGAAACATTGCCTCAATAAACAAGTTCTTTGGTAGCCCCATAACCAAAAGTTGCTGGGGTTCGGATCTGGTGGTGATGGCAGCAGCAACATTGGAAGTGATTGGCTAATCACTCTTGGGAGAGAAAAATATCAAACACAGGCTTGCACATTTAAGTCAATATGTGTTGTATGGGTGTACAGCAGGAGTGTCCCTACATTTGGGCACATGCCACCCAATTTCGTCTCGTCTGCCCTTTTCCTAATCTCCAAGGAGACAATTCGTGACTTCTAGGCCAAATACAAAACTAATGAACAATATACAGTATGTCAATTGACTCA